AAAAAAAAAAAAAAAAAAAAAAGATTGTTCCCACACTATGAAAACCAAGAGCCCAGGCAGCTCCTGTGGCTCAAGGAGTAGGGTGCCAGCTCCATATATTGGAGGAAGCAGGTTCAAACCTGGCCCCAGCCCAAAACTACAAAAAAAAAGAAAGCAAACAAAGAAAACCAAGAGCCCACTAGTGGGTAAGAAAAGCAAAACTAACATAAGACTATGCATCAATTTTCCAAATAGAAAATTACAGTTATTTGCCTTAGCCTCCATCTACAGGTTGTAAATGAGACTAAAACTCATGTTTACTGACTTTTAATCCAATATTCTTATTTTCTTGTCCTTCAAATATAAACAGAATTGGCTGTCTGCACCCAAACTTTATTAATATATAACAACATATTGTTATATATTAATACTAATTATCTTAAATAATGATAATTATTGAGGACTAGAGTAGGGTTCACATTTGTAATCCTAGCACACTGGGAGGCCGAGGCAGGAGGATTGCATAAGCTTAGGGGTTTGAGACCAGCCTGGGCAAGAGCTAGACCCTGTCTGTCCTAAAAATAGAAATATTAGACAGGGCTATAGTGGGCACCTGTAGTGTCAGCTACTTGGGAGGCTGAGGCAGGACCATCACTTGAACCCAGGAGTTTGAGGTTGCTAAGAGTTAGTGCCCATGGCACTCTAGCCTGGGCAACAGAGTGAGACTCTATCTCAAAAACAAAAAAAAATTAATTGTTAATTATGTAATACTTATACGTTAATATATAATAATCTACTACTACATATAGAGCTCACAATTGTCTTCTTTTAAAATGCATCATAAATAAATTTAAAAAGCAAGTTGTGTGGTGTATCTGCAAACAAACAGAAGCAGGAAACATTTTATGAATGCACAGGATACTGTACCTTAGGAAGTAAATTCTACTATTACTTGTTAAAAAAACTGGCTCAGCGCCTGTGGCTCAAGTGGCTAAGGCGCCAGCCACATACAGCTAAGGTGGCAGGTTCAAATCCAGCCTGGGCCACCAAACAACAATGATGGCTGCAACCAAAAATAGCCAGGCATTGTGGCGGGTGCCTATGGTCCCAGCTACTTGGGAAGCAGAGGCAGGAGACTCGCTTGGGCCCAGGAGTTGGAGGTTGCTGCGAGTTGTGATGCCATGGCTCTCTACTCAGGGGAATAGCTTGAGGCTCTGTCTCAAAAAAAAAAAAGACCTTATAATCTGCCAGGCACAGTGGTTCACACCTATAATCCTAGCACTCTGGGAAGCCGAGGCAGGTAGATTGCCTAAGCTCACAAGTTCGAGACCAGCCTGAGCCAGAGTGAGACCTCATCTCTAAAAAATAGCCAGGTGTTGTGTTTGGCGCCTGTAGTCCCAGCTACTTGGGAGGCTGAGGCAAGAGAACTGTTTAAGCCCATAAGTTTGAGGTTGCTGTGAGCTGTAATGCTACAGCACTCTACTGAGGGTGACAAAGTAAGACTCCATCTCAAAAAAACAAACCAAAAAAAAAAAAAAACTTACACTCTTTCAAGTAACCATTTAAATGTGGTAAAGTACATTATTACTTTACCAATGATATTCTTCAAAATTACAATGGTGATTTGGGAAGTTTTTATGTCTCTCCTTTCTATTTTTGGTAAAGAGCACTCTTAATTACAAGCAGTTGACTAAGCTACAAAAGGAAGGACAAAGACAAAGTCCTTGATACGGCAATCTGCACCTATTATTTTATTAAAATTATAGCTCAGTAGGCATCAAACTTCCTGGGCAGATGAATGGGGCAAAGGTGGAAAAATACAGGGCAATATCAGATGGCAGCTATGAATGGCAAGTCCGATGAACAGCTTAGAGCTTTCTTTCTGAAGCAGATTCTGTCAGCAGGCAAAATTAAGAGCAAGGGCCACAGGGAAAGTAATGGGGGCATTACTTTCTCCTAGCACTGTTCACTCCTGTTTGCTTTGGTAAAAAGAACCAAAAATCCCCCAGCAGAAAAGCTATTGTATACTTCCTTTCTTTCTCAAAAAGTCATTTCAAAAGCCCCCAAAGAGTCTTAGATTTCCAATAACCCATTCTTAGCTCATTAAAGTAAAACAAATGCCCATATCCCCGACTTCTACTCCTATACTAGGTAGAAAATGGAGGTAGTAACTTTTCAAACTTCCCTGTCCAGCGCAAAGGCCCAGAACCCCAGTTATCCTTTGAGTTCTTCCCAGAGCAACTTTTAATTGAAAATTCACTGAAGGTTGGGCAGCACCTATGGCTCAAAACGGTAGGGTGCCGGCCCCATATGCTGGAGGTGGTGGGTTCAAACCCAGCCCCGCAAAAAAAAAAAAGAAAGAAAGAAAGAAAATTCACTGAAGGTAAAAGTACAACTAAACAATTATTATTTATCTCCTTGAGCCTAATTAAGGTGGTAGTCTTCTGTCCTAGAGCATTAGCCCCTCCAAATTTCTGATGCTTTATAAGTTGATGCTTCATTAAAATGACTAGGAGGCACAAGTATTCTGAGCTATGTATGATGGGTAGATGTCCAGTGAAACCACTCCATTCTCCGCTGGAGGCAGGGGTCAGAAAATGCTCTTCTCCTAAGAATTCTCTAGTTTACACTTTCAAAAAGACAAAATTATGTGCACAATTATAATTAGTGTTACTATATAAACATATTTAGAAATACTAAAGATAAAGATATTTCATCTGGCCAGGCCCAGTGGTTCATGCCTGTAATCCTAGCACTCTGAGAGGTGGAGGCAGGAGGGTGCTTTGAGTTCTGGAGTTCGAGAATAGCCTGAGCAAGTGCGAGACTCCGCCTCAAAATAGGAAAATAAAAATTAGCTGGGCATCGTGGTGGATGCCAGTAGTCCCAGCTACTCGAGAGGCTAAGACAAGAGGATCTCTTGAACCCGAGTTGGAGGTTGCTGTGAGCTAGGATAACGCCACGTCACTCTAATCCAGGCGACAGAGCGACTCTATCTCAATACAAAGAAAAACTTCACCTAAAAGATAACAGGCTAAAAACCATTTTCTGTTGCAGAGGTTGGAAGGCTGAGTGTAAGAAAGATGGCTGAGTAGAAGGAACTAAGGTGTTCAGAGCCTACTTACTTTTCTCCTCCATGTTCTTCCTTTCGTCACCACTTTCTGAGCAGCACTAGGAAAGCAGGTGTGACAAAGACATTACGATTTTAAGTATTAATAGTGCTGTAAATGAACCTAATACGACACTCACACGGAAGGGGTCCCAGACACACATCACCCTCTGGGGGGGTGGGCCTTCCTGACGGTCAGGGCCGTCTGATTTGGGTTCCACACAGGGCCACCTCTGTGGTGGCACCTTCCCAGGACATGTCATCTCGCTGAGACTGCCAGGGCCGCCTCCCGGGGACTATCCCCTCCAGGAGGTACTGCAAGGGACTCGACCCCAGGCTGCGACACAAGGAACCACCTTCCCAAGCTTCCAGGGCCACCTCGGTAGGACTATCTCCCCTGGGAGGTCTGTGCCACCTTACTGGGCCACCACAGTCTCATGCTGGCGCTGTCAAGGTCGCCTCACCGGGGCTGCCGGCGACTCGCCGACCTCCTCGGCCGGTAACATCCCGCCTCCGCGCGAGTCCTCAGCACCACACACTGCCAGCGTGGCCCGCGGAGTCCGGCTCTGGCCGGGGACAGATAACGGCTCAGCCTTGGAGGCAGGAGGGCTAAGCGCCACCACGACTTCCCCTCTCCGTCTCTCTGTTTTTTTCCTCTCAGCCTAGATAGGCCTTGTTCGCGCAGCCGCAGGCCGTGCTCTGTCGCGCCCCCTGCTGGCCGGGGGTCTAGAAGTGCTCAAGAGACTGGGAGCGCCAGGGCAAGGAGCCAACGCTTTCTACTGTACAGTCCCCTTCACGTTGTTGGTACTCTTGATGGAGTTTTAAGATACCCCGCCCTAAACACCATAATTCAATACTGATAATTTAGATTTGTGTGTGTGTATGTGTATGCATACATATATATAT